TTCATTTATATTTTAATTAGTAACAAAGTGTAATATAAAAAAGCGAAAGGAAAGTTATTGGTGGGAATTTCTGAGTGACTCTTTCAGCATCTTACATCAATCAGCCAGTAGGTGGCGATCAATTAACCATTTACTCGAACGATTCGTTCAATATCCTGATTTATTCAGAAATTAAAAGTGTATTGAAGGACTCAGTGAATATTCATACAACCTCTTTGTTTGTTATTTGATTATTTTAGCCATGAAAAATGGCATTCTTTCTATTTCTTAGTAATGTTTTTCCAAATTCAGCCGCTGATACATTTAGCGATGTAGACTGAGTGATGTAGCCTATATACCTGAATGAGTCATTGATTCATTCACTTAACCAATTCGTTCAAAAATGTATATTAATTTTGAAACAAAACAACTGATTGTCTGTTTGAGTCATTAATTAATTTACTCAACCGATTAAATAAATAAGAAACGTCTAGCTAATATGGCATTTACTCAAAACAACAACAAAATAAATTGTATTTGTTGAATTTGTATATTTGTTTGTTGCATTCCAACATCCTGCATGTTTCTGTCATCACTACCACGCAGACTGATTGATGAAAGCGGACATAAACAGATAGTGACGCCCTTGTTCTGATGTTAGTCAGCCAGACAGCCCGTCACTGACAGTGCCAACAGCCAAAGTAATTAAGAATCATACTTTAATGCTGACCTGAGGAGCATGGGAAGGTCATCTGAGGGGAAATGCATTTGCACATTTTACTTGGTTTACAAAGCAAATATAGTTAACTAAAACTAAAACTATTAAAACATTTTTGTTAATTAAAATAAAATAAAATATAAAACTGAATGATAAACTTAAAGCAAACAAAAATGCTGCAACTAACTAACTGAAATAAGTTTAAGCTGAAGCACTAAAAAGCTGGTAATAAATAAAAACTAAAACTGAAATAAAAATAAACCTATAAACAAATAGAAAGAACAAAAGCACATAACAAAATTACTAAAAATGAAACTAAAGTTAAAAAGCAAAAATCTAATTCTAAATATTAATAGAATGATCAAACAAAAATAAGAATGGCTTACAATGGCATTCATACATAAAAAAAAAAATCTAAATATTTTTACCACTGTATAAAGCCTGTTTATCGCCCAAAATGATATCAGTGACAATGTAAGTGAATCATTAAAACTTGGTGTGAATATTATCACAAAGTTCATAACTTCCTGTGAGCATCTTTATCATAGAAATAGCCTATGTGTCTCTCAGTGGCTTCCCCTCCTTGGGCTGAACACTTGCTTCCCAAAAACACAATAATGTATATTTAGCCTCACTGATAAGCATGAAGAGGGAAGACGATAATCTGTAAGAAGTAGCACACTCCTAAGTGTGTGTAGGATGGCATCTCAATGGGCGGAAGTGTTTGAGCCTCGACTGTCGACAGGGAGGACAGGGGCCATCCGTGCAACACCATCAAATAGAACTTGTTGCAACTAAGTAATCTATGGCCATATTACTGTCAGAGTGATATATGAATCTTATTGTAATTGTTTTGATATTTACTCATTTTTATAAAAAGTAATTATTAGGTATAAATATGCTCTCGACAGCAATTACTACACACGTACTTCCTGACTGGTGTTTTTTTTTTTTTTTTTTTAAACCAGGCTAGTTTAGGTGTGATTTACGGTGTGTTGTTGAGCTGACGAATTGTATCATTCATCCCACTTAGCCGATAGCAGCCAGAGGTTATCTGTAGGGATGTACTACATACGCGACCATGCTGCCGGCTTTGAACAATGCACACCCTTTTCCGATACCTACACAATGAAAGGCAGGGTTGAGCGGCCTCCAGGGTGTGACAGAAAATGATAGCGCTGAGGTCTGATGAGAATTGCGATGGAAAGCACAATGTGAGGAGTAAAGAGCAAAGCACCTCGACTCTCCAGGCTGTTCCAAAAGCTGAAAGCAGCCCACCTTCCACAGTTGTTTTTGGTCTTTAGGCCATTTCCTGAATGTGAAATGTTGTTTGCAACTCATTTTACATGTGTATTATGACGTATTTCTGAGAGAAACAGAACATTTAATGAGAAAATATGGGGTTGACAGTTTTTATCCATTGATATTTAATTAGATTGTGCAAAGTGGCTTTTACCAGAATGGAATGAAACCGAATGAAAATTTGCTAAAACAATTGCCTATTATTTTATTCCAATTGCATTTTCCACCTGACTCTTTTTTCGGTATTGCAAGATATAAAAATTGCATGTTTATCACTTTTTTCTTAGAATTCTAAGTTTACATCTCACAATTTTGTTTGTTTTAGCCATAAAAAACAACAACAACAAAAAAACAAGGGTAATTGCGACTGTTTTTATCTCACAATTGACTTTTTTGAGTTGAGTTTGTATCTCAATTCTTAGAATTGTGAAATATAAACTTGCAATAGTGAGAAAAAAATTCAGAATTGTGAGATAAAAAGTCAACATTGTGAGATATACAGAATTTACATTTTTATCCCTTTTTCATTCTGTGGCAGAAACAAGCTTCCATAGGTTACTGACTAACATTCCCAAAAGCCCACAAAGAAAAGTCCTTTCAGAGTAAGAGCAAGTTACTGCTTTTTGATTGAAAGGCTTTCAAGCATTTTTTTTCTTTTTAATAACATGCACTGAGATTCCGTTTTGATTCCATGTTGACTTTAAATGCATTTGATAGTACAATACAATGCTTCATTACTTGTGAAATTATATCATCATAAAATCTGATGGTGGTTTATAGCTAATGCAACATGCTGAAAGCAAAGTGAACCTCAGGACACAAGCAACAGTTCCTCTTCTCACCACTAGAAGGTGATCTTTTACTTTTAATAAAATAATCAAACAGAACAAACAAATGGCGTGACAAACATCTCAAGTAATCACTAAGATACTAATAAAAGGATTAATGATGCTTTATTGAAGAATTTAATCCAGTAAGGCAGATAATATGTACTTCATTATTATACTGATGCATTTGGTTCTTCCATGAATTTAATGAGTATGAAACGCTTTTATGTTGATACCTAATATGTTTCTCAGAAATGAGTAGAATTGTGTAAGGATTTCAGATATGCTGTGCGTGAGAGTATATCGAGATGATTTTTATGCTTTTACCCTGAGATGGATTTTCAAGACAGTAATACATCAAAATAGGTCCAGTATTACGAAGTACAGACATACGAAAAGACGTATAACAATGAAAACATTCTCAGTGCTGCTTTGGAGCTCACACACTCTTCATGTATGTGTGTCAAACATTTCCAAAACGGTATATTAGCACCAAGAGCTACAAAGTGAACGCATTTGAAACAAACATAACAATCATACACCTTTTTAATTGCAAGTGTTTAACGCAATGATTACAGACATGATCGCACAATGTTCTCTTTCGCAGGCTGGTGTGATCGGAGGTACTCATGTGTATTATCACGGATACGTTTTCAAATACAGTTATTAGTTGTTTCGAATGAGCTGTGAAATGATTAGACGTTTGGCCTATGGAGGAATTGTGACAGCCATTACAAATGTGTAACTCTACCTCAGCTCTACTATGCCAACCCCCGAGGAGAAACATAGTGTTGTTATAAAAGTAATGAAGTGCTATAAAAAGCAGTTTCAGGCAATCTAGATAAATTGGTACAGTATAAATAGCATCTGGTGTAGAGTACTTTCAATACTTTGAAGAGGAAAGAACTAGGACTTTTAAAAGCCAAATGTTTCTGTCAGTCTCTGTACTCCATCCTGTTTGTTCTCACTCTACTAAAAACAAGCGGTTGGATCCCAGTGGGAGAGTCCCATCAAAGTCTCTCTGAGCAAAATCCGTTAGGCAAACAGAAGCCTAAAGATCTGCCAGATGACAAACAACTTCAAGGCAAAAGCTTGAAGAGTTTAGCACCATGCGGAATCAAAGGCGTCGTTAGACGAGAGTAATATCACATGGAGTTTGCAGTGATGAACACGTAGATGCGGGCCAGGAAAGTTGTGAAAGTTCCTTGACGCAGCAGCTTCATCTCCACGTCGATGAGGAAGTCCCGTGGCTCCCGCACCTGCCGGTGCAGGTACACGGCGCCTGTGAAGCTGTTGAGCTTCCGTGTGCTGAAGTAGCCTTCCTCGTTTCCGTGCGGGATGCTGATGATGATGTTGTCACCCGAGTAG